AGAGACCGAGAGACAGAGAGAGAGAGAGAGAGAGAGAGAGAGAGAGAGAGAGAGAGAGAGAGAGAGAGAGAGACAGACAGACACCGAGAGAGTGAGAGAGTGAGAGAGAGAGAGAGACAGAGACAGAGTGAGACCGAGAGAGAGACAGAGACCGAGAGAGAGAGAGAGAGAGAGAGAGAGAGAGCGAGAGAGAGTTAATCATTTACCCTGACTGCTCTCTGATTGGTTGTCAGCTTTCCTCTTCCTGCCCCCGCTTTCATTTTCAACTTTACTATCCAGATGCAAAAGGCCAAGCAAACACACAATGACAGGTCAAGACAGAGACAGAGTGAGACCGAGAGAGAGACAGAGACCGAGAGAGAGAGAGAGAGAGAGAGAGAGAGTTAATCATTTACCCTGACTGCTCTCTGATTGGTTGTCAGCTTTCCTCTTCCTGCCCCGTGATGATTCAGAGTGCTTCTTTTCAGGAGTCTATAAATGAGAGACATTACATTCATACACCATTTGTTATGAATTTATTCAGGTCTTATTTTGCACCCGGTGCACAATAATGCTGGCCTCAGCAAGCACTGAGCACCACATTTAAATTCATAGCCTCCTGAGAGCAAATCGTACAATCTCTGAACATCAGCCGAGAGTATAACGAGACATATTGTGTGCCTTCAAACAGTATTTAATGACTCTTGAGTCTAAATGACTCTAAGAATATCCCTAAAGTGAGAGTGCATAATCCGGGGCCTGCACCAATAATCACAGTCTATTTTCTCTCTCGCTGGGGAAAGGATGCAGAAATATCCTGCTCTTTTCAGCAGACAAAGAGGGGTGTGCTGCCAAGGGCATCTTTGCATTCTGATCAGAGAGTTCTCGCTCACTGGCTAGGACTGAAACCTCCACGTCTGCCACCAAACTCCAGCGCACACACCAACGCTATTAAGAGATAAACTGAGCCCTACACACACACACAAAAGAAATGCTGCCTCATCTATATGTTGATTAAAATGCTAATCTTTTTATAGCTGTGAAACAGAAAGAGATGTGGTTAAACTCTGCCCTGTGTATTATACATTGCTCCTTCATATGAATTTCTCATAATCTAAGCTTAATTTGAGGTTATCGTAGAAAATGATGAAGTGCTGTGTGGGCTAGGCCTGTGCTTTTCTGGAAACCACACCATGCATTTCCAAAGAGAGGAGTGTCGATGTGACTGAACCAAGAGCCTCAAAAAGCATAATTTGTGTCTCTTTTCAATTCTCACATGACTGGGACAGAGAGACTTACTGAATACGCAGGAGAACTTCCTCTTTTCCCATCTGATCCCTGCAACAGAGAAAGAGGAAGAACGAATGAGAGAAGAGGAAAAGGGAAAACAAATTAAATGAGAGAACGAAAGATAAGGAAAAAGGAAATGAGGAAAATAAATGAGGAGCAGATAAGGAAAACGAAAAGACAAATTCAAGGAAAAAGGAAGGATAAGGAAAAGGTAACGAGAAAAAGAGGGAAAACAAAGGAAGAAAGGGTAAAATGAAGGATAAGGAAAAAGGAAATGAAGAAAAGAAATAAAAAAGGAAAACAGATGAGGAAAGGATACAAGGAAAGGACAATGATTCAAGGAAAAAGGAAAACGGAAGGATGAGGAAAAGGAAATGAGAAAAAGGAAAACAAAGGAGGAAATAAATTAAGAAAAAGATAAGGAAAACAGAAAGGCAAAAGGAAATGAAATGAGAGCATGACAGGAAAAGGGAAACAAAAGAGGAAATGAAAAGAAGAAAAAAATGAGAAAATTAAAGGACAGGAGGAAAAAGAAAAGAGAAAAGAGGAATATGAAATTAGAAGGAAGGGAAAATCATCGGATAAGGAAAAAGAAAAGGGAAGTACATGGAAATGAGAAAGGAAACAAAAACAAAAGAGAAAAATACAGGAAGAGGATAAGGAAAGGGAGAACATCAAGGTAAAAAGAAAAGAATATGATAAGAAAAAGGGAAGAAAGGGGGAAAGAAAATAAGGAAGGACAGGATAAAAAAATGAAGCAAAAAGGCTAAAGAAAAGAAGAAAAATTAATGAAAGGAAAAAGAAAAATGATAGAATAAAAAAGGGGCATGGAAGAAAAAGAAAGACATAATAGGAAAGGAGAAGGAACAGAGATGAAAGGAAAAGGATAAGGAAAAGCAAAAGGTAGAGGAGAGGAGGAACAGGGAAGTGTTTTTAGATGCGAGTGGGTCAGGAGCTGCAGACTACAGGACAGGACTGAAGCTGCGGTTTATAATTAGCCCTCAGTGACAATGACAGAACGTCACGGTGGCCCTAACGAGTCGGCACAAAGGAAAACAAAGGAGGAAATAAATTAAGAAAAAGATAAGGAAAACAGAAAGGCAAAAGGAAATGAAATGAGAGCATGACAGGAAAAGGGAAACAAAAGAGGAAATGAAAAGAAGAAAAAAATGAGAAAATTAAAGGACAGGAGGAAAAAGAAAAGAGAAAAGAGGAATATGAAATTAGAAGGAAGGGAAAATCATCGGATAAGAAAAAAGAAAAGGGAAGTACATGGAAATGAGAAAGGAAACAAAAACAAAAGAGAAAAATACAGGAAGAGGATAAGGAAAGGGAGAACATCAAGGTAAAAAGAAAAGAATATGATAAGAAAAAGGGAAGAAAGGGGGAAAGAAAATAAGGAAGGACAGGATAAAAAAATGAAGCAAAAAGGCTAAAGAAAAGAAGAAAAATTAATGAAAGGAAAAAGAAAAATGATAGAATAAAAAAGGGGCATGGAAGAAAAGAAAGACATAATAGGAAAGGAGAAGGAACAGAGATGAAAGGAAAAGGATAAGGAAAAGCAAAAGGTAGAGGAGATGAGAAACAGGGAAGTGTTTTTAGATGCGAGTGGGTCAGGAGCTGCAGACTACAGGACAGGACTGAAGCTGCGGTTTATAATTAGCCCTCAGTGACAATGACAGAACGTCACGGTGGCCCTAACGAGTCGGCACAGTCTGATATTGATGTTCTGCACGCTCCACACTGGCACTTTTGGGTCACAACGGCCACAAGCTCAGAACAAGCAACACAAAGAAACACGCTCGCCATCAGAGAAAATCTACAATTACTAAGCTGCAGTATAAGATGCTGACGCGATACAAAGGCAAATAGAATTCAATGCATCAAAAAGAGAACAATCTGTGCTCCTTCATCCGTCATTCCTCATTTGATAGAAGCTACAGAGGAGGACACTTCCGCGCACGGAGCCTTCTGAAATATAAAGATTACGTAATCTTCATTCCTGTCACTGAAAATGGAAATCCTTGATATATACATATACTCAAAACCATCATGAATATGCAAATCATCCTGCGTTAAACGAGTCGTGTGCTTCAGGCTGCAGGTGTCGGAGGCTGTGATTAGCGTTCAGGGGATTATGGATAATCTAGTGTAGGTAGTCTTGAGGTGGGGCTGTAATGGAGGTTTTACGGAAAGTCTGAAGGTTGTGTGTGTGTGCGCGAGTGTGTCTACACTATCTAGGTGTCTGACATCTGGCACAATAAGCAGCTCACAGCCACATGAGAGGAGCTTGTTCTCAACCTCCCAGTTCACTTTCTCTCTCCCTTCATAACTCGCTCGATTGGCTTCCTCCTCCTCTCTTGCTCTGATTTATGTCACAGCAGGTGTGTTGTGCGGGGGGAGGGGAGGACAATTCTCCTTACTATGATGCTTTGTGTGTGTGTGTGTGTGTGTGTGTGTGTGTGTAGTACTTTGCCTGCTGATGGTTTAACTATCGGGGGTTATAACAGATGCCAACCCAGCCTGAGTCTGCTACAAAACCTAAACACGCACACACACGCACGGAGTGACACAGCATCCTCTACAGTATGAGGCAGAAGCACAGCCCTCAGCATACACAGAACTAGACCTTCATTACAGGGAACATTTCTTATCGGCCTGAGTCACACTCACACACCAGCATCAATTTCTCTGTAACGCTTTGATTCAAAGAAGACACAGCAGAACGTCTCTGTGCCATCTGCTGAACTATGAACGGAGTTATTAACAACAGCTTTCATCAGGACTCAACCGTGCGCAGTTAGAAACGGAGCATCCATCATAGATCAGTTTGGAGCAAACGTTTCAGTGTACAGTGAACCGTTTTACTGATTCATAACCGTTGAACAGTTAACCGTTTTACTGATCTATTCATTTCCTTGTCATTCACAGTCCTTATGGATAAAAACACACTGAACTGTGATTCAGACACACTTCTCGCATGGTGAGAAGACATCTACAGCCCAAATGCCTACATGGAAGTTACAAATGAATATCCTGAAGGTTGATTCGCATTATCCAGTTGCTACAATGAGCACGTTTACATGCACACCAGTAAGCTGGCAACTCACAAATATCAGCTTATTAAAATAGCCGGTTTTCCCCATTTACATGCACATTAGTAACCTGACAACGCAAGCTGTGTTTACATGATTTTATTAATAAATCAGGTTATTTCCCTTTAGTGACGTCAAAATATTATAATTTGCGTATCTTACTCAGAGTATTCCATAGTTGTGATGTTAAAGCTTGCAACATGTCAGCGGGACACTTACAGCTCATATAGCCACGAGATATGCATTTCATAATTGTTCTCATTTTCTGAGTCATGAAAGAGTCTGCTTTTGTGATATTTCCTTTCTTTCTTTACTGCAAAACGTTTGCTCTGTCTAGATACGCTTAAATCTGCACTAACGATGCGTTCCTGTTACGTATCACACATGCGCACTTCAATAAGCAGAGAGAAAGCGGGTTCATGCATTTACATTCAGAAGCAAAAAAAAAAAATTACCTGTGTCGACCGGTTTATGCTTATGCCGTTTATGACCTTACTCCGATAAAAGAAAACGGGTTACCGCATTTTTGGCTTAAGAACTCAGTTTTTATTTGAGACTTAATCATTTCAATGCATTAATATTGTTAATACAATCACAAAAAAAATAAAAACTTTTACACTATAAAGGGGTCATGAACTGCCTTTGTTTTTTTATTTTGTACTGTTCTCTAAGATCCACTTATAATTATCATCAAGATTTTTTTACATCAAAAATCATCACAATTTAGAAGTAATAGGCTATTTTCTGTCCTGTTTTTGATCCCCTCATCAGAACGCTCTGTTTGGATTGGCGTAGAGGATTGTAGACTCGGAAGTAGTGGTCGACCGATATATCACCAAGGCCGATATATCGGCTGATATTTGCCATTTTTCAAATATCGGCCGATAAGTTTTTCTGTTTGGCCGATGTGTTTGAGGCGGGAGTTTTATTTTGACGGCGCTGAGAACGGCAGCGCCTGAGCACACACCGCTCACATTTTCCCTCTTGTTCGCTGTCGTCGTTCAGTTCTGTCTAATATGGATAGAAGTCTATCTAATAATCAGATAGAACTGTTAAACAAAGGAATTAAAATGTATACAAAAAAAGTATTATAACGATTGATTTTATACTATTAGTTATAGAAAGGCAAACATAATAATACTTTCTTGTTTGCCGTCAGCATTCAGCAAATACGCATTTATATAATTTAAACAAATCTTTGAATGACTAATGAACATTTAATTTCACAAAACTTGCAGACTTAGTCGAATCTAGTTGAGATCTTGTGAAGTGTGCATGTGTATACTGCACGATCGCGTGTTTGCTGCGTGATGGTCGATCCGTGCAAATTTAATGTGGACAGGAGGAGAGTTCAGCTTAACTGGAGACGCGCGATCGACAAACTTTAAACTACTGATTTCAAATTATGCTGCGCTTTATGCATTTGCCCACTGTCATGTTCATGTCATTTTCACTGCGTGCTGTATGTAAAATGAGTGTTACCTTGGCTTTATTTGAAAAAAAATTATTCCCAATGCACACAAACTTCCCAGAATACTGAGTGCTCTGTTGGTTACAGGGTTTACTTCCTTTTTAAATTATATTTTTATTAAATATTTATTTGTGAAAAATACTTTGTCTTCTAAAGTATAATTGTTTATTTTACACATTTATTTTTTAAATCAATTTTCAAATGACTTCAAATTTCTTAAATATTAATTAAAATAAATACAATTATATCGGCCATTGGCCACCCTGCTTTCCAAGATATCGGCATCGGCTGTCAAAAAACCCATATCGGTCAAGCACTACTCGGAAGTAAGCACCCACTGCTACGATTGGCTAACACTTGTGTATGTTTGACAGCATACATTCCTCATAGATGGACACTGCTGTGATTTAGGTCATAAACGCATAAATAACTCAATACATATCAAATGATCTGTAAGAAGAGAAAGCAATAGTGACCACGTAATGAAAACAGATACTCACTTATTTTGTACTGTTCTCTAAGATCCACTTATAATTATCATCAAGATTTTTTTACATCAAAAATCATCACAATTTAGAAGTAATAGGCTATTTTCTGTCCTGTTTTTGATCCCCTCATCAGAACGCTCTGTTTGGATTGGCGTAGAGGATTGTAGACTCGGAAGTAGTGGTCGACCGATATATCACCAAGGCCGATATATCGGCTGATATTTGCCATTTTTCAAATATCGGCCGATAAGTTTTTCTGTTTGGCCGATGTGTTTGAGGCGGGAGTTTTATTTTGACGGCGCTGAGAACGGCAGCGCCTGAGCACACACCGCTCACATTTTCCCTCTTGTTCGCTGTCGTCGTTCAGTTCTGTCTAATATGGATAGAAGTCTATCTAATAATCAGATAGAACTGTTAAACAAAGGAATTAAAATGTATACAAAAAAAGTATTATAACGATTGATTTTATACTATTAGTTATAGAAAGGCAAACATAATAATACTTTCTTGTTTGCCGTCAGCATTCAGCAAATACGCATTTATATAATTTAAACAAATCTTTGAATGACTAATGAACATTTAATTTCACAAAACTTGCAGACTTAGTCGAATCTAGTTGAGATCTTGTGAAGTGTGCATGTGTATACTGCACGATCGCGTGTTTGCTGCGTGATGGTCGATCCGTGCAAATTTAATGTGGACAGGAGGAGAGTTCAGCTTAACTGGAGACGCGCGATCGACAAACTTTAAACTACTGATTTCAAATTATGCTGCGCTTTATGCATTTGCCCACTGTCATGTTCATGTCATTTTCACTGCGTGCTGTATGTAAAATGAGTGTTACCTTGGCTTTATTTGAAAAAAAATTATTCCCAATGCACACAAACTTCCCAGAATACTGAGTGCTCTGTTGGTTACAGGGTTTACTTCCTTTTTAAATTATATTTTTATTAAATATTTATTTGTGAAAAATACTTTGTCTTCTAAAGTATAATTGTTTATTTTACACATTTATTTTTTAAATCAATTTTCAAATGACTTCAAATTTCTTAAATATTAATTAAAATAAATACAATTATATCGGCCATTGGCCACCCTGCTTTCCAAGATATCGGCATCGGCTGTCAAAAAACCCATATCGGTCAAGCACTACTCGGAAGTAAGCACCCACTGCTACGATTGGCTAACACTTGTGTATGTTTGACAGCATACATTCCTCATAGATGGACACTGCTGTGATTTAGGTCATAAACGCATAAATAACTCAATACATATCAAATGATCTGTAAGAAGAGAAAGCAATAGTGACCACGTAATGAAAACAGATACTCACACTTGTGCGACATTACTGTCAGATCCAATATAGTTGGGATTGTCTTTTAGTTTCAATCTTTCTGAAAATCCTGCGTCGAATTGTGCCTTGTTTGTAAACTAATCTGTGGTAAAATGAAGTGAACAAAGGACCGAGTTCTTACTGATGGGGTCTGGATCTTCATTAAAAACAAGGTTCATTCACTCTTTCCTAACTTTGGCAACGCAAATACTGTTTTTTCACAGCTTAGCACTGCACAGCGTCTCGTTGTCTTCAGAGCCATCTATATCGGTTGGTTACATGTGCAAATCGGTGGGCGGGGCTAAACAGGCAGTGATGTAGAATCGGTGGGCGGGGCTAAACAGGCAGTAATGTAGAATCGGTGGGCGGGGCTAAACAGACAGTGATGTAGAATCGGTGGGCGGGGCTAAACAGACAATAGGTGAGTTCGACTTCATGCGGTGCTGCGTAGACCGATCGGTGGCTGACTTGAAGCAGTGCATGCCGGTTAGAAATGACGGCGCCGACGTCACGCCAACCGTCACGACTAGCATCAAAGTACCGTGATAGCGTTTCGAGAGCAGCCGGCTGACGCAGTTTCTCCAGAGCAGCTGCAGGAGCGCTGATGACGACACAGCGGTTTCACGATTGGACAAATTCACCACATGACAACAATGACGTGTGTTTCTAACATCTTCAATTCCAATACTGCTCACAAATCTGTATTTTTAGAACAAGCTTTTTTTATTGTAGTCGCAATGTTATATTGAGTGGCGTTTATCAAAAAAACACTGATAAAAGCATATATTCCCCCACTTTATTGGTATTTAAATAGTATGTTTATGTTAAACTTTATTCTTGCACAGATGGCGCTGTATCAAGCAGTATATAAAAACTGTTTCTGTTGCTCATGAAAACGTTTCTGAAACGTCTGTGTATTTGACAAATACTGCATGTTATTCACTTCATCTGTGATAAGAGTATGCAAACACCGTGAAAGCGTCACTACCGGGAGCAGAAAGTGTCCGACTTGACGTGTCTGTTTTCAATTCTGCCCCCGACTGCAAGCGGCTACTCTCATTGACTGCCGTCTGTAGCCGTGGTTCAAGTCAAATGCACCTAGTGATGTAGAATCGATGGGCGGAGCTAAACAGGCAGTGATGCAGAATCGGTGGGCGGAGCTAAACAGGCAGTGATGCCGAATCGGTGGGCGGAGCTAAACAGGCAGTGATGCCGAATCGGTGGGCGGAGCTAAACAGGCAGTGATGCCGAATCGGTGGGCGGAGCTAAACAGGCAGTGATGCCGAATCGGTGGGCGGAGCTAAACAGGCAGTGATGCCGAATCGGTGGGCGGAGCTAAACAGGCAGTGATGCCGAATCGGTGGGCGGAGCTAAACAGGCAGTGATGTAGAATCGGTGGGCGGAGCTAAACAGGCAGTGATGTAGAATCGGTGGGCGGAGCTAAACAGGCAGTGATGTAGAATCGGTGCTCGGTGTATGTGGGTTTATCAAGCTGTTTCAATAAAATATCTTCATATGTGTTTTGAAGATGAACGAAAGGCTTATGGGTTAAGAATGACATGGAGGGTTGATGAAATTTCATTTGGATGAACTAACACATTTATTGGCCAATAAATTAAGCTGCTGTTAATCTCCAGGTTATTAAATATCAACTGATTAATCAGGGCGATAATATCAATCATCTGTTAACTGCAATTAATCAATGTTATAAATCATGATGTGATTATTTCCCACTGAATGTTCTGTTTGGAAATACATCACAGCATGTAACAGGTATGTGGTTTAAAGGCGTTTGTACGATCATACAGAATTAAACTCACCTCTGACTCTTTATCACTGGAGGAGCCCAAGCTACCAAAACTGTGATTGGAGCATTCGTTGTTTGTCAAGGTCTGTGCAGGAGAAACACATTTACATGAGTCGATGCAGATGAATATGAGGTATTCATGCAGCAGGTGTTATGAATTCATTATTTGACAACTTCAAGGAGAGGACAGTTGAATAAGCAAGGCAACATGACACAGCAATAGAGAATTGCATGTTTCAGTGTGAGGCCCAGTGTAACCTGACATGAACCTCACGGTCACAATGTCCTCCCTTTCAGAAAACACAATCTTCTTCAAAAGCTCATCATGAAAGTAGGAAGACTTTGAGCCTCTGCTATGAAACTGGCTGTGTCTGAAACAACATTAAATCAAGCAGCATCCAGAGGCAAAGACGTTTGTGTAACATTCTGTTAGGGCTGCACAATAAAAATAAATATGCAATTTAACTGAATAAATGTTTGGTCAGTGTGTTTTAGAGTGAAGCACGGCACTGTGTTGCTTTAAGGGCTACCTGTTTTCCACTAGATTAAAAGTTTGATAGTTAACATTTGAAAATCAAGAAATTAAGACAGAAATATTAGTATTGTAATTTAATAGCTTAAATGCAAAAATTGTATAATATTAATTATATACAATATAATTATTTCTAGGGATGCACCGAAATGAAAATTCTTGGCCGAAGCCAAACAAAATGGCTTTGGGGGGGAGGGGGGCTGGGTTTCACCACAGCATAAATTAAATAGCCAAAATGTGCTTTTTACTGTTTTGTCTTGCTTTTCAAATAAAAAAAATCCATTACAAAACAACAATTTAAAAATATTCACTTAACACTGAAATGTCTTTTAACACTCTAGCAGACATTACCAACAAAGCACAATTTAACTTAAAATTAATAAGTTAGTAAAATAATATTTTTTGTCCATTTTTGAGACTCCCTTCTTGAATCAGGCATGTATTTTTTTACTGTAAAATTAAAAGCAGCCTTGCTGAGCAGGAGAGACTTCTTTTAAAACATTAGAATATGTCACAGCTTGAACACTGTGTGAATGTTATGATTAATGAATTAATAGTGCTATTGTAGGGTATAGTATAATTATTATTAGTATTGTCTTAATTTTTTATTTTATTTAACAGAACACCGAAATAGATTTTTTTTTGTGCTATTTTCAGCCGAATAATTTCGGTTGCCGAATATTCGGTGCATCCCTAATTATTTCAATATCTATATATCCATCCATCTATTTCTCTATAATTTTTTTGTTGTACAGTGAAATATTATAAAAGTATTGTTTTTATCTATTAATATTTATATTTTTATTTCGTAATAATAATAATAATAATAAAAATGAAAGCAGCCTGGATGTACTTATACTTTATCACCTATAATATCCCACAGTCACCAGTTTGGTGAACAGAATTGGTGTCTGAACAATTTATAAAGGTAAGCTTTTTTCTTATGACTATTCCTAGCAAGAAATAAGCATTACAGTATGTGCTCGATTAGCTCTAAACCTTGCTTGAAATAGTTGTGCATCATAAGCGAGGCGTAATGGCGTCTTGAAAGCCATAGAAGTGCTTTTTCATACAAAAATGCTACCCTCTGCCACTACTACTGTTTGCAAGCTTGTGTGTTTGCAATAACAGTTTGGTGATAAACTCAGCCACTAACTTTAGTTCCTCCGCTAGCGCTGCCAGTGCTGCCCGCTGTGTTGCCACTGACTCCGCCCAGAAATCTGGCCTCCAGCAACTCCTGCCGGCGCGGGTCCAAACTGTGCAGCTCCTCCATAGCACCTGAGTGATAACACACATACACATATAGGTCACTCTAGATGTGTTTCGGCCTTGGAAAGTGCTTTGCTTGAACTCACTTCATATAGGTAGACAGGACAGAGAAAAAAAAATGTCACAGAGTCTCCTGGGTCATGTGCTCACAAACACAGGTACAGCACTCCCCAGAGCTTACATAGTACTGAAAACTAGATCACAAACAGGTGAAACATCAGGTGTCTTACAATCAGAGACACCAAAACATCCAGTGTCATCCTTCACTAGGGTTGGGTATCGTTTGAATTTTATCGCTACCGATTCGTAACGATTCCTAGTTTCGATTCCAATAAGATCAAAAAATCCAATATAAAGAAAAATGAATTTAAACATTTAGATGTCAACATTACAGTATGTGCTCGATTAGCTCTAAACCTTGCTTGAAATAGTTGTGCATCATAAGCGAGGCGTAATGGCGTCTTGAAAGCCATAGAAGTGCTTTTTCATACAAAAATGCTACCCTCTGCCACTACTACTGTTTGCAAGCTTGTGTGTTTGCAATAACAGTTTGGTGATAAACTCAGCCACTAACTTTAGTTCCTCCGCTAGCGCTGCCAGTGCTGCCCGCTGTGTTGCCACTGACTCCGCCCAGAAATCTGGCCTCCAGCAACTCCTGCCGGCGCGGGTCCAAACTGTGCAGCTCCTCCATAGCACCTGAGTGATAACACACATACACATATAGGTCACTCTAGATGTGTTTCGGCCTTGGAAAGTGCTTTGCTTGAACTCACTTCATATAGGTAGACAGGACAGAGAAAAAAAAATGTCACAGAGTCTCCTGGGTCATGTGCTCACAAACACAGGTACAGCACTCCCCAGAGCTTACATAGTACTGAAAACTAGATCACAAACAGGTGAAACATCAGGTGTCTTACAATCAGAGACACCAAAACATCCAGTGTCATCCTTCACTAGGGTTGGGTATCGTTTGAATTTTATCGCTACCGATTCGTAACGATTCCTAGTTTCGATTCCAATAAGATAAAAAAATCCAATATAAAGAAAAATGAATTTAAACATTTAGATGTCAAACATTTATTCTGTCTTTTTGCAAAGCATTCTGTTGCAGCTGAATAGCACGAGCAAAAATCAGCAGCCTACAGAACACTGCAAGAGGAACTTTTGACCATGCTTTTAACAAAAATACCACAGCAAAAACAGCTAGACTTATATGCATTTCAAATATATATATATATGTTAAAGACAAGTAATAAAATAGGAACAAACTAATCAATTAGCAATAGCATAAATACAACTGAACCAAATTTCAGGTACAGAAACTAATTAAACATTTAAAAACACTGCATTTTCTTTTCATGAATAAAATGGATTAATTCGTTAAAGTTATTAAATATATTCAGTCAAGATCAGTGAATGATTTTCTTTTGTTCTTTGATTAACATTAATGACAGGCAGCGCGTTTATAGACTGCTGTGTCTTCAACATCGAACGCACGCAGATCTAAAACTACTGTACACATGCGTTTTCTTTCTCATCCGTTTAAGTTCACTTAAGACAAAAACGGCTGTGTTTATGATGATATACTGATGTTTTCTGCATACTACGATAAATATGAAAGAAGTCAGTTCCAGCCCGGAACAACCTTCTCTGCAGTGGAACGTTTGGAGAACGGACACAGACAGGGAACCTGCACCGAGACCGTTCCTGCAAGTCCTTTTAAATCACATTAAAACGCAAACGCAGGAATCGTTAAGCAGAATCGAAATGCTTATCGAATACCCGGTTCTTGAAAATTTGGAACCGGTTCTAAAACGGAACCGTTTTCGATACCCAACCCTATCCTTCACTGAAATAAAATAGGCAGCCCTTCTCCTGGTTGGCGTACTTTAAAAATACACACTCCAAAAAATGTCACTACACATGATAAACGAACAGCGGAAGTCATAGTCAAAAAATGAAAAGGCTGCATTAAAATGATGCTGGGATTCTCTGCCATGTCAAGAGACTGATCTTTGTTATTTTTTTATTTTTCCAGTGTTCATTCCTAGATGTTCCTCTTTCCAAGCATTTTAAACACATCAGTACTGATCTTTTATGCTTAGCACACACACACACACACACACACAAACTGGGCTGTATTCATGAAACATGCGCAAAAGGAATGTGTTCACACATAAATTGTTGGTTTATTCAATGGTACACTATATGAAGTCAAAATTCTGAAGACACCTAATTCTGTATTATTAAAATATACATATTATAATAAATAGTCATCAAAACTAAGAAACAACACAAAATTATGGGAATACGGACAAAAAAGAAATACAACTCTTATTTAAGCTTCTTCGTCTAAATTCCAGCTCTGCTCATTCTGGACATTCTCAGCTTGCATGTTCAAGACATGCATACTGTTCGATTTGTATTTGAAAAACAAAAATCGGTTCAATTCATTAGATTAAAGGGGTCATACGATGCTTTTTTAAAGATCATTATTTGGTGTATTTGGTGTAACAGAATATGTTGACATGCTTTAATGTTCAAAAAACACATTATTTTTCAAATACTGTACATTATTGTAGGTCCTCTATGCCCCGCCTCTCTCACACACACACACACACACACACACACACACACACGTTACTCTGCGCTGCACAAAACTCCGCATTTGAACAGTCAATGGCAAATGCTTAAACTAATAACAAAACATACTTACTGTCACTGATTCAGAAGCGCCAGATTGTCATAGCAAAGTCAGAATTTACCCTTTTTTTTTTTGTTTGTTTTTTTAGAAATAACCTTTGTGCACAGCCAGCCTCGGCAACTTTACAGATCTTCTTTATGCACCAAGAGCTTGTAACACTCCAAAGAGAAAGGAAAAATTTAAATCGCATCATATGACCCCTTTAAGTAAAATAATAAATTCTATGAAAATGCTTCAAATGTTGTGAAAATGAAAAAAGGATTTAACGCACGTAAATACAGTGTTACATTAGGGTTGGGCCGACAGACGATGCCATCGTCCGTCGCCGATAGCTAACAGACATCACGATGTTAAGCTGACATCGTGATCCCCCCCCCCCCCCCCCCCCCACCCCCCAACCCCCCCTCCCCCCCGCT